TCTATATATATGTGTGTGTATCTATATATATACATGTACTGGCATGGTGGTTCGCGGCGGTGATGAATCTGGTTCATGGCGTCTTTCTCTCTCCCCAAATTGAACAAGTTAGTTGGATTATGCATAATCTAATCAAATACATGTGCAGATGGTGGCGGTAGAATTGGTCGCGGGTGGCGGTGTGTGTGTGTATATATATATATATATATGTATATGGGGTTTCAGATTGGGGGTTTCTCGCGGCGGGTGGTAGCAGCGGACTGAATCTTGGCCTCGCGAGGTGGCGGAGTAGTAGCTCAACGGCGGCGATGCTTATTGCTGGGGTTGTTTCTCCTTATGGTTGCGAGAAGGAGCCTTCACTCTTGACGAGAAGGAATTGGCTTGCCCATCATTCCTTTTTTCATCTGTAATTTAATCGAGAAAAAATCTTTCTATTGAATTGTTGTGTGCCTCTACGTCTGGACGATCTGGCACCGGCAAGGCTCATTGAGATCTCTTATGCTGTGCAACAGGTGTTGAATAACGGCATAAAAGGACATCATCTTGGTCGATTGATTCTCTTTTGTTTAATTAAGAAAGAGTATGAAAATGAATTGTTTTGTTCCTCTCTCCAAAAGACTACCAGTACGGCAGTTCCCACCAAGAAAGCAATTTAGTCAATCCAATTGGAGGAATAGAAGCAGCAATTGGGAAGTAGGGGGGATGGTGAAGGCATCCTAGAAATTGATTCCACAAAAGTAGCCAAATAAAAGGAGATCAGGGGTTATTTTTGTCATTTAACATGCTTGAGTTTATTTATTTACTTTTTAATTTTTTAAATTGAATTAAAAATTCAAGAGCATTTTTAACTTTTAAAATTTTAAAAAGTGTCAATGTAAATAAAATTATCGATCAATCGGGCTGAGTGATATTGACGAAATTTAAGAGATGTGCAATTTACCCATTAATTTAAGAAGACCCTTAGATATTTCTCTCTCCCCTCTGAGTTCAGATCAGACTAGATCACTCACACGTCAATCATATGGCTACATCATATTTGTCCTCCTTTAACCCCTAAAAAACAAAACCATATATATCCTCCATCATATATATATATTTATATTCAACATAAATAAGATCTAGAAGCAGAAAAACTAGTAAATTAGTACCACTTGTGACGCATTGACAAACTGCATCTGGACAAAAGAATGAATAGAAACATAAAAATACAAAAAATAAATAAAAGCAAAAGCAAAAACAAAATAAAGTTGTCAGGGTTCTATTATAATTTATAAAGGATGAAAGAAAACATTTGGAGTTCAGAAATTATCTATAAAAGAAAACTTTGCAAGCCCTTTCTCTACATTACACAATTGATTGGGCCTCATTTGTTCTTTGTGAGGGCTTATGACAATTCGCTGTTAAATGGAACTAAAAAATCTAAGAAATCAATCCTACAATTAATATAATTATTAGTCGTGAAAAATCGAAACAATAATTTTATAGTTGTCCTATACAGATGCAAAAACAAAATCTTAGGTAATTAAAAAGACATAGTAAGAATTATTTTTAGATGAAATATGTAACTCGGATTGCCTCTAAAGACATCATAGTTGCGTTTGCAGGATTCAAGAGATAAGTTTTTAAGGTTTCGTTTTTAAATCGCACTTTTAATTTAAATGATCAATATTATGAGACCGATACAAGTACTTTAAAAAATAAAATTAAAAAAAAAAAACTACTCAGATCAAAAAGTACCAAGGGGTAAGGTTTCACACCTTAATGTCACGCCCCGCTTATGGAGGTTGTACCACGCAGGCGACACGCAGACGCTGAGGAGGACGCTGCATGGCGAGTGGAGTTTCTAGAGTCTTTCCGAATTGTTTAGAGTTGTGTGGAAGATTCGAAATATGTGTAATATATTCTAGAATTCTCCAGAATTGTGTGGAGTAGTATGGAGAGTTCTAGAATATTGTAGACACTTGTGGATCAGTATGGAAGTGTGAAGAAGGTGGGAGAAGATTCTAGAGAATCGATTAGATACTTAGGGATGGGGATGCCTATAAATAGGAGTATGACTTCATTTTGTAGCCAACAAGTCCTAGAGTGAGTCTTGAGAGCCTTGTAGAGAGCTTCAGTGCTAGCCTTGTACAAAGCATTCTTTGAAGTAATAGAAGTGTTCTTTCCTTGCCAACTTAAATGCCTTAGTGTGTGTGAGTGTGCAAGCCAAGTGAGAAGAGGGCGAGGGCAACTACAACACTAGTAAGCACACGAGGGGAGTGTGTTGGCTAAGGTGTGCACGAGAGTTAGGCTGACCAAGTACTTGCGAGAGTGGAAGCAACGTCTTGGTATCGCACGGAAGCAGCTAGAGTGGTGCTGAAACTCTAAGCCCGTGACAGTTGTTATCAGAATAGGTTCGTCAAGAGAGCTTTGTTGGAGTAGACATGGCTAGCAGAGAAGACCACCAAGTCCACGTCTTGGAGCAGAGCTTGGAGGAGAAGCTTGCCACACACTTGGTCTACACAGAGACCAAGTTTAACAGGCTCGAGAGAAGGATGGCAGAGCTCTACGAGCTGATTGATGGCATCGCCAACAAGGCACAAGAGAAGGAAAAGGACTTGTATGATTGGGTAGACGACTTGCGCGTGGAGATTACCGAGTGCAAGAAGGAGTTCTCCAAGGCGCGCGAGGTCGTGGTGAAGCCAAGGAAGAAGAAGGCGCCGGAGCCCAAGGAGTATGATGGAACAAGGAATGCGCGCCAGATTGACAACTTCTTCTGGCACATGGAGCGGTACTTCGAGTGCATGAAAATCGAGGATGATGAAGAGAAGGTGCAGACAGGCACTATGTACCTCCCGGACACTGTCGCTCTATGGTGGATGCAGCGCTTCACCGGTAGAGGCGCAAGAGCGGTTGACACATGGGAGGAGTTCAAGAGGCAGTTCTACCCTGAGTGCGTTGAGGACCTGGCCATAATCAACCTAAGGCGCCTAAAACAGAAGGGCAGCATAAGGGAGTATGTGAAGGAGTACTCCAACTTGATGTTGGAGATCCCAGAGATGCCGGAGTGGCAACGCGTGTGCTTATTCATTGATGGGTTGCAGTCTTGGGTAGCCACAGAGCTGAGAAGGAGGGAGCCTAGAGACTTAGCATCAGCAATGGCTATAGCGGAGCGCCTTGAAGACTTTAGGCGCGATGACAAGAGGGCCATGTCTCCCAAGAGGGACCACGACAAAGGTAGGGGAGACCAGCGCTTCAAAAAAGGGGGCTCGCTCAAGTCAAGTGATGATGAGCACAGCGATGAGAAGAGACGCCCACGGCCCATGATAAAGGCAATGACCATGGAGAAAGGTCCAAGGCTAGTGGCAAAGGGGAGCGCCGCGATAAGGGCAAGTGGGAGCCGAAGTGCTATTTGTGCAAAGGGCCCCACATATTGCGACACTGCCCCAACAAGAAGACCATGAACGCTCTTGTGAAGGATAAGGGCAAGGGCAAGGTGGACAATGCGGGGCAGCGACGAAGACAGGTGCATGGGGGCTATGCAGATACTGTGCAGCATGGCGCAGGACACCAAGAAGAAAGGCAAGGCGAAGAAGGTAGTCGTGGTGCGCTATGTGGATGCGCAGGTTGGTGGCAAAGCCGTGCAAGCATTGGTGGACACGGGCGCCACACATAACTTCATTACCCCGAAAGAGGCACAACGACTTGGCTTGGAGATGTGCAAGACGGAGGGTTGGATCAAGGCCGTCAACTCCGAGGAGGCACGCATGAGTAGAGTGTGCAAGGAGGTAGAGCTATGCATGCAAGGATGGAAGGGCAAGGCCGACTTCCAGGTTGCGGAGATGGACGACCACGACATGGTGTTGGGGCTGGAGTTCATGGACAGGAACAACGCCGCACCACTACCATGCATTGGTGCGTTGATGATACTTGGAGGTGAGGAAGGCAAGGCCGCATGCATGGTGCCGCTCGTGGGCAGGAAGGAGGGTCCAAAGGTGGCAGTTAACACGATGGAGCTTGTGAGGACATCACATCTCCCGAAGGGCGCTCGTACGTTTGGGCCAAGGACATATGCGCAAGTGATGATGACCTGCGAGGGGCTGGGTCAGCTGAAGAAACCGTAACGAGGGCATCACAGAAATGGGTGGGGGAGAATGTCACGCCCCGCCTATGGAGATTGTGCCACGCAGGCGACACGCAAACGCTGAGGAGGACGCTGCATGGCGAGTGGAGTTTCTAGAGTCTTTCGGAATTGTCTAGAGTTATGTGGAAGATTCGAGATATGTGTAATATATTCTAGAGTTCTCCAGAATTGTGTGGAGTAGTATGGAGAGTTTTAGAATATTATAGACACTTGTGGATAAGTATGGAAGTGTGAAGAAGGTGGGAGAAGATTGTAGAAAATCGATTAAATACTTAGGGATGGGGATGCCTATAAATAGGAGTATGACTTCATTTTGTAGCCAACAAGTCCTAGAGTGAGTCTTGAGAGCCTTGTAGAGAATTTCAGTGCTAGCCTTGTACAAAGCATTTTTTGAAGTAATAGAAGTGTTCTTTCCTTGCCAACTTAAGTGCCTTAGTGTGTGTGAGTGTGCAAACCAAGTGAGAAGAGGGCGAGGGCAACTACAACACTAGTAAACGCACGAGGGGAGTGTGTTGGCTAAGGTGTGCACGAGAATTAGGCTGACTAAGTACTTGCGAGAGTGAAAGCAACGTCTTGGTGTTGCACGGGAACCACTAGAGTGGTGCTGAAACTCTAAACCCGTGACATTAAGATAAGCAAATACCCCAATCTCTCTAGGACCTACACAAAACAGTAAGAATCCTAATGAAGTTTCATCTATTGGGTAGGTTGGATGAACTAAAGACTACTTCAAAGCCAGCGCTACTAGTGAGGAGTCAGCAAGTATAGGCCATTCCTCACCACCACCTCTACCGACAATAATAATCGCATGAATTTCAAACGTACCGCACACGTGTTCTCACGTTATGGATCGTGGTGTATTCGTATTCGTAAAGCAATTTCATTAACTTCAAATGCCAATAAATTAATTTAAGAGTACCCTTTCATCTCTCACTTGGTTGTCAATTGTCAATAATTTTTACACTCTCCTTCAACTCATCGCTCTGAGCTTTACCCAAAAAAAAAAAAAAAACAAACAAAAAAAAAAAAAAACTCATAGCTCTGAGTTCAGATCAGATATCTCACAAGTCAATCCTATGGCTGAAAAGGTTTGTACATCTTATTCTCCCTCTATCTCAATATACCCATTTCATAGTTTGCTAGCTAGCTTCTCCATCCACACACACACACACACACACACATATATATATGTATATATATTTTCTTTTTCTTTTTCTGGTTGTCTTATTTTTTGGGTTTTCTTTGTATGTTCTTGATTATCTGTATCTACCGAATTTTTCATTAATCTCAGAACCTGGCTCAGATTTCTCTCTTTTTTTTCTCCACAAAAACCACAAAAGTTGATTTCTCTCTTTTCAAAGTTTCAAACAGTGATATGTTATAGATTATTCTCCTTTACTATCTTTTTATATATATAAATATATTTCTGTATAACTTTTGTACCATGTAATAGGTTGTGATAATGGTGTTGAAGGTAGATCTTCAGTGCCCTAAATGCTTCAAGAAGGTCAAGAAAGTACTCGGAAAATTTCCACGTGAGTGAGCTTCTTTCTCTCTTCTCATCTCTGTACTGAAGTTGACTTCTTGTTGCAAGAGTTATACAAATAATCAAATATTGATGATCTTATCATGATATAAATCATTTCACACTTATATAAAGACTTTCCCACCAAGACATGTTAAAAAAAAATAATTTGTTTGATTTGTTTGGATATAAAATATTTTTTAAAAAATAATTTTTTTATTTTTTGATGTTTAGTTATGATCAAATATTTACGAAAAAAATATATATTAAAATTTAATAAAAATAATTTTCGATAAGTTATTTTACATATTGATAGATTAGACCCTAATTTCATATTCCACCTCAATCTCAATATAAATATTTACAAAATATTGACAAATTAAAAATAAAATAATATTTTATTTAAAAAAAAAAATTACAAGTCATATTTTACGTCAAAACAAACACACTTGCAAACTTTCTAAAATTAGGGAACTTAGGGTCTTGCATGTTAACTCGTGATTAATCTTAAATTAATATTCCTTCTGTACCATAAAATAAAAGATGCCTTGTTTGAGAAATCATGACTCACAAGGGTTCTCCAAACATAACATCTGATTTAGAGCGAAGATAGTAGTTTTGGAAGCATGTTCTAATTTCTCGAATGACATGGATTGTTTTGTGATTTTTTATTTTCATTTTCGATACAAACTTAACTTATTTCTTATGTCATGTGTTTAATTTTTGAGGACAGGAGAAATACGAGACCAGAAATATGATGAAAAGCAAAATACGGTGACTATCGAGGTCATGTACTGCTGCAGTCCGGAGAGGTTTCGTGACAAGTTGTGTTGGAAGGGTGGCAGAACAATCAAGAGTATTGAGATCAAAGAGCCCCCAAAGCCCAAACCAGCTGCTCCGAAAGCTGACCCACCTAAACCAGTTGACAATAAAAAGGTGGTCACCTTCAAAGAGCCACCCAAACCAGTGGAACCGGTTCCCAAGTTAGTTGGACCGGTTCACGTGCCTGTACCGGTAACAGCCTACCCTTGGTATGATGATCCGTGCGGATGGCCGCCACCACCTCCTCCACCAGGTTTTGATTATTATGGAAACGCATACTACAATGATGGTTCTGGACCTGGTTATGGAAGACCATGTCAAGTGGTGGTTATGGAGGATCCACCAGCATGCACAATCATGTAAAGGGTAGTATAGTCAATCCCATTGGTTTTGAGATCCTAGTCAACATTAGACGGCTTGACCTTGTTTGTCATAATTACCAAATTATTTACTTTTTTTTTTTCTTTTTTTTTTTTTTCTGTGTGCGTGTGTGTGTATTGTATAAATTTTGGCTGAGCATAATTATATTCTATGGCCTGCTGTCTTAATAAGCTGCCAACTATATCCTTCACAAACTCCAAATATTTGGTATTTGGCTTCAATGTATCCCAAGTCCATAAACGTGTTCTAACTCAATTGGCACCGAAATTTGCTCTCATTCTTAGTTTCAAATTGAATAATTTTAGCCAAGAAACAAAATGAGCAGTTGATATGTGGTGGTTTATATATTAAAAAGTAAATTTCTTTCTTCGAGTGTGTTAACTTCAAAAATAAGATGAAAGAAAAAGGAAATTAATGGAAAAAAGGAAAGGGTGACAAAGAACAAACCAACCAATCCACCTAGAATATTGGACTTTGTATGACAATAAATAAATAAATGATTCAATGGCTAAAAGACTTACCTAATCGTTGAATTTGGTAGTGAAACTTAGTTACCAAATTCACCTAAAATATTGGACTTTGTACTGTAGTTAGGAGTTTCCAAATCGTTGAATTTGATAGTGAAACTTAACTAATGAATGATTCAATGCTTAAAAGACTCCGAAGATATTTTACAATTTCTAAAATAAAGGGAAAGACCTGATGCCAAGAGTCGGAAAACATTTTCTTCTAACATATGTTTCTCCCAATATTATTGAAGAAAATGCTTTCCAATGCTTGGGAGAAACATAGCGGACATCAGAAGGAAAATGTTGATATGTTAAAAATGGATTTTATTTTGTATGGTTGACTCAACTTTTTATTCAAAAATATACTCCCAATTGAAAGATTTTTTCACGTGAATTATAAATCTTTCAATTGCATTTAATTATGTAAATTACAATCACATTACAGTCTAAAATAAATCTCTTAGAGAATTTCTTGCCATCTCCATTAATAGTCTGGACTCTGCACACACACAGCAAACTTGATTAATGGATGTGGCATTGCAAAATGTCTTCAATGAAAGCATCAATGTTGGTGTCTGCAGATCCACCTTTTGCAACAGCTCGTCGACACGTCTCTTTGAGTTCTCTAGCCCTTCCCCTTATTTCTTTCCCTCCATCACTTTCTGAATCCATAAACCTCTGCAAAAGTACGGCAATTTCTTCTATCGTCACCAGATTGTCCACTGTCACCTTTCCCTTCACCCTCCACCCTCCACCCAATCTTCCAGTCGTCCACAATTTGCTTACTGTTCGGAATTCGGTCCCAAATTATCCGAAAATTCAGCATTAATTGGGACACCAGCAAATACACTTTCTTTGGTCACACCAATGCACTACCAGCCCCTTATCAACACATCCCTCTACTAGTCCCCAACTAGCCTCCTCTCCACGCGACACGCACAAGTACCGGACACCACTATCACGCACCCTGCAACAACTTTGCACGATTAAATTATTGGGTAAAATAAAAACTAATAGGAGTTCCTTTCAAGTGAAAATAAAAATTTTTTTGGTGAAATTTTTTGAGGTAAAATACTTAATATGAGAAACTAAATTTTAAAATTTTCTCTTTCTTTTTGTAAATATTTTCACCTAACCAAACAAAGCCTAAGGTTTGGCATTTGTGTAATGGTTGGCTTCTTCAAAGTCTATTTACACATGGTATTTTGATAATTCTATTTTCAAATGTAAGAAGAAATCAGATGAATATTAAACGTGTTAAGACAAATATATATAAATTAATTAAAATTTCATTATTTTAGCATGATGTTCATTAATTCACTAAAACTTAAAAAGATTACAAAATGAATTTTCATAATTTAAAAGAAAAAAAATACGGATTAGCTAACCACCAAACATTTAAAAAAGAATCATAATCCCAAGTCATAAACTACAGGGTTAAATGCAAAAAAAAAAATCTCTGAATTATTGGCCAATCAGCAACAATCCCCCTTGAACTTCAAAATTTTCAAAAAACCCCCTGAATTATAAAATTTGTTGCGGATAGCTCCATCCGGCAACCGGCCGGTTGAATTTCGCTGTTAAAACCATCACATGCAGTCACGTGATCACACAATATATACTTAATGGCCATAATACCCTTATGAGCATAAAAAGACTGTATTACCCCTTATTATGAACATTACACTCAAACACACCCTTAGTTTACTGTTACACCTAATTACCCAAACACACCCTCATCACTTTATATATATTATACACACACAGAGAGAGAGAGAGAGAGTTACAAACACTGTTTATCTTCTTCATCAAACCCAACCGCAAGATGGTAGTAAGTTTATTTCCTTGTGATGCCTGCACTACGAATTTAAGGAGGAAACAAGAGAGCATATAGTTTTCAAACCCTCAATTTGAGAACTGGGTTTACAAGGATTCATCAACATTGTGTTTTTACACTACATGATTTGAGTCAAAGTGACCTCCATATCATCTAAAGGATCAAAGTCCCAATTAGCTGTTGGGTTACAGTTCATTGATATTATTCATCCTGGGTGTTTATGAAAATAAAAGGTATTGTACCAGGTATCCTGATAGTCCCAGTAATTGAAAGTTTGAGGGTTGCGAGGCTGAGAAAATTGCCTCGGAGCATTGATGTTTTTACCCCAGGCTGCTGGAGTAAGGACTTTTTGAATGGTACATGTGGTGTGAGAAATGAAAGACTCATCACCTGGTTTTGAATGAGTTCGAATTTTGATGAAATCAGTGTCTACTAAAACAAACTGATAAAAATTTTGTGTTTTCCGAAAATCTGTTGTTGGATAATGAAAACATTTGACAAAATGATTTTGAGAAAGTAAAACTGGGTTTTGGTTAAAAAGCTCTTTTTCAACCACACAAATGGTTGATGAATTTGGTTTTTGAAAATAACGAGATTTTTTGAGAGTGGGGTTGTTGACCACCACTTGCTGTGAAACAGATCTTGAGAAAATTTGTTTATCTGATGCTGAAGAAATTGCAGCATAAGTTTTTTGAAGGGGAGGAAAAACTGGTTGTTGGGATTGTAAGTATGCTTGGATGGGTCATACTGGATTGGGGACATGTCTATGACATATTGGGGAATTGTGGTTAGGGCTGAAAACCGGTTTGTAATTAATGGAGGTGGACTAGCACACATAACTTCTTCATCTTCCTCGACTTTATCATACCAGGTTTTTTTGGAAGGGTTCTGAGAAGAGGATGATTGAGCATATGCATCTTTTGTTTTGTGGGGTTTTGTGCTAGCAACTGAGGCTCCTCTACTTGTCTTGGGAGGCATAGTAACCACCCCTAAGCTCCTGCTTTTCCCTGCAAAAATTCCCTGGTGAGAAAATCAGGAAGAGAATTGTTTTCGCCTTTTATATATTCAATATCAAAGTCAAATATAGAAAGAATAGCTTGCCATCTGGCGAAAATTTGTTTTGAGGCTATGTTATGAATATCTTTCTTTAAAACAGTTTTTGCAGATTGGCAATTAACACGAACCAAAAATTTTTGATTTAGTAAGTCACCTGTTTTTTGCTTTAGGATACCTCCATATCCTAATTCAGATGCATCAGTTTCCACAATTTTGAAGGCTTCTGGATCAACAATAGATAGGCAAGGAAGGTTTTTTGCTTTGCTTTTAAGGATTCTGACTGTTTTTGTATGCTCATAGGACCATGGGGGAGGGGACTTTTTTAATCTTTGGCGTAGTGGAGCACAAAGAAGGGAAAGATCCTTAAAAAACTCAGAGAGATAATTTAGGCACCCTAAAAATCTTTGAAGCTGGGTTTTGTCTTTAATTTCATCAGGGAATTTATCAGCAAATTGGATGGATCTGTTGATTGGGATGACAGTTCCTTGGTGGATCTGGAAACCTAAAAACCTAATCTTGGTCTGAAACAAAGTTAACTTTGATAAAGAAAGGACTAATCCATTATGCTTGATGGTTTGAGCAAAGACATTGAGATGTTTCCAATGAGCATCTATAGAAGAAGAAAATATTAGTATATCATCAATATAAACAATTGAAAAATTCGTAAGATGAATAAAAATATCATTCATAATTTTTTGGAATTCTGAACGGGCATTTTTTAATCTGAAAGGCATCACATTCCATTCGTAATGGCCAAAAGGAACCGTGAAAGCTGTTTTGTGTCTATCCTTTTCAGCAATTTGGATTTGCCAAAATCCTGACTTGAGATCAAACTTTGAAAAAACGGTTGCATGAACGAGACGTTGGATTAGGTCCTTTTTATTGGGCAGGGGATACCTGATCCATTGAAGAACTTCATTGAGGGGCTTGTAATTGATAACGAACCTGGGAACACCTCTTTCTATTTCAGCATTCTTTTGGACATAGAAAGCGGCACAACTCCATGGGGAACGGCTTTTTCGGATGAGGGATTTATTTAATAATTCCTGTACTTCCTTCATACAGTAATTAAGAAGTTCTTAACTCATTTGGCTAGGACAGGCTTTGGTAGGTATATCCTTTTCATTGAAAGATTTTTCATAAGGTAATTCAATAATGTGTTGTCGTCAATGCCAAAAGGCGTTTGGGAGATCAGAGCAAACCTGACTTTCAAGTCTTAATCTGAACCTTTGAATAGAGTCTTGGAGACTTTTTTGACTGAGTCGTTCATCAATCTGTTTGGAGATTAGTTCTTGTTTGAGAAAGTCTAAATGCTTTGTTTTGCTTTCAATTCTGTTGACAGCAGGGACTTGAGTAACATAGGAATCCTTAATGGTATTGAGATCCTTGGTGTCTATAGGATGAGCAAAAGGAAAGCAAATTACTTGTCCAACTAGACTTGTTGAAATGCCTTGGCTATCAACTTTGAACGGGTAAAGAAGAGAAATGAATGGAGTTCCCAAAATAACAGGGGTATTGAGGTCTTTGACAAGGATGAAAGGTGTTTTAATACAAAGACCCTGATTACAAACATGGGCTTTGATTAACTTGTACTGAATAGTGAGTCGTGAACCATTAGCACCTTGAAGCCGTTCTTTGGTTTTCTCAAAGTATTTCGTAGGGACATGTCCTTCATTGATACAATTGAGATCAGTACCGGAGTCAATGAGAGCCACTGTATGAATGGTATAGTCTTTGTTGATGACAATTTTTAGATTAACATGCCATTTCTGGAATGTTATCTGGGTTAGAA